CTTTTTCGAAAACAAAGTTGCACCTTTGGCAAGAACAACTTCCTTGATTGCCGTTTTCTTGGCCACAATAGTAGCAATGGTTGATTGGGGTTTTGTGTACAACCTGGCCAGCTTGGAGACACGCACTCCACTTTCATACTTAGCAATGATCTCTTTCTTCATATCCATAATAATTCTCACCCTTTTTCCTGTAGGGTTGGCACTAGAAGCTTTCTTGGGGCCCATGGTGACTTATTTTGCAGGTGCAATCACTAAAAAGGCTGTGATAATATGAAATGTTCCGATTGTATGCTTGGAAGCAACCGCGATGGCTGGCTTGTAAACACTGGCACCCACGGAACAAGTGAGGCTGGCTCAGGCTGCACGTGGATGCGTCTCGAACGAATCACATTGAGCGAGTTTTTTAGCGCTAGCCGAGGCAAAAATTTTGCATTAAAATGTATCGCTAGGCGGATTTAACGTTATATGATGCCATCATTAGGCGAGGGTCCACTGTACATGGTAATATATACAGTGGGCCTCCGACATTCGATTGCATCGACATTCGATAAATCCGACATTCGATGCATTTTAACACAAAAATTTTGCCTTGACATTCGATGGAAAACCCGACATTCGATACAATTCGTACAAGATGTGTCCATGTGTGGCCTGAACTGCCCCGTGTGTGCCAGTGTTTACAAGCCAGCCAGTGTGCGCGTATCTAAGGATACATTTGGTACATTCCATATTATCCATATTATCACTGTTTTTGGTGCTTGTTTCTGCAAAATAAGTCACCATGGGCCCCAAGAAAGCTTCTAGTGCCAACCCTGTGGTAAAAAGGGTGAGAATTAGTATGGAAATTAAGAAAGATTTTGAAGGGTTTGGGGCTAACCCTGAGAAGCCTATGCCAGTTGTGGACTCCATTGTGCCTACTTCAAAAATTAAGGAAATGTGTGCAAAGTGGGTTGAACTGCAAACCTTTATGGATGAAAATCACCCTAACACAGCTATTGCAAGCCATGCTGGTGACTATTACAATGACAATGTTATGGCCCATTTTAGACAAATCTTAAAGGAACGGCACCAGAGGTCCAGTGACTCAAGCTGGTCCTAGTGGCATTAAAAGAAGGGAAGTAACCGCAGAAAAGGACTTGCTACCTCAAGTCCTAATGGAAGGGGATTCCCCTTCTAAACAGTAACAACTTCGACACTCTCCTCTCCTCCCATCCCATCAATCATCACCAGATCTTCATTAAAGGTAAGTGTCAATTATTCTATTGTTATTGTAATTATTCTCTTGCATTAAACTTAATATTTCATATGGTAAAATTTTTTTTTTCATACTTTTGGGTGTCTTGCACGGATTAATTTGATTTCCATTATTTCTTATGGGGAAAATTAATTCGACTTTCGATATTTTCGACATTCGATAGCTCTCAGGAACGGATTAGTATCGAATGTCGAGGGTCCACTGTACGTACCTGGAAAGTACTCGAGGGCCTGGTCCCAAATCTGCACACTGCCATAACATAATGGAGTGAGAGAGATGGGAGGAAGTGTAAAATAAACCCAGTGAGGAGCAGGGGTGCAGTGGGGACAATAAGAGAACAGTATATCAACATATGGGGTCCCAGACTATTCAGCATCTTACCAGAAGATATCAGAAACATGGCTGGGACAAGTGTAGAGGCCTTCAAGAGGAAATTGGACAAGTATCTTCACCAGGTGCCAGATCAACCAGGCTGAGATGGATATGTGGGGCAGTGGGCCTCCAGCAGCAACAGCCTGGTTGACCAGGCAAGCACCAGATGAGCCTGGTCCATGGCCAGGCTCAGAGAGCATAAGTGTTCTCAATAAAACTAATCGAATTCTTGGCTTCATATCAAGAAATATAAATAATGGAAGCCTTAGTTAAGGCTATACTTCAGCTTCAAATTTCTTTGGTTGGACCTCGTTTAGATTATGCTGCTCAGTTCTGGTCTCCATATTACAGGATAGAAATATCCTCAGAAATATGCAGAGAAGGGTAACAAAATTGATTACATGTACATGTATTAGAAATCTTTCCTACAAAAATAGGGCGAGGCATTGAACTTGAATTCTTCAGAAAGGTGCAGAATTAGGAGAGATAAGAGATAAGTGTGTAAATGGAAAACAGGAATAACCAAAGGGATTTATAAAAAATGTGTGGAAAATATCTAACCTAAACAAGACTCAGAGCAGTGGATTCATGTTGGAGAAATTTAGACTTAGAGAGGATATTGGGAAATAATAATTTGGCATTAGAGTTGGAGATCAATGGAACAAACTCCCTTGTACCATCATTGAGGCAAGAATGTTTGGTAGCTTTAAATATAGGTTGGAAGGGTGCATGAGTAGGAGTGGGTGGGTGTTAATTGGACTTGCTTAGCATGCACCAGTAGGCCGTCTGCAGTGTTCATACATTCTTATGTTCTTATGCTACTGAGGCTTTGAAAGGAAACCAAAACACAAATACAAATCTACATGGACTTCATGATGGCATGCAAGGAATGATATACCTACTGACCTAATTTAAGGGATAACAAGAAAAGTAGAGAAATGGATATTCATCTTTCTGAAGAATAGAACATGAAGTGTAGTAACAAGCAAAACAAGATGTACCCTTAGCAAGGTAAAAAAAAAAGAAAGTTTAGTACTCCAAAGCATGGTCTTGGCACCTCTACCGTTTCTCATCTTTATAACAGACATAATCACTAGCTAAAGCTTCCTTTCATCCTTTGTGTACGATGCAAAAATAAGCATGTACAATGGAACCTCTACTTAAGAGTGCATCCATGTGCGAGTTTTTCCAGTGGTACCTCTGTGACCACAAATGCAAGTTTTTACAGACGAATCTCCAGCTAGCGTGGTTCAATCCCGGCCGGGGGTATGGTTTATTTGCAATCGTGTCATTACGATTTCTTGAGTCATGTTGACGGCAGTGAAGGGACTTGAGCTAGAGTTCGTCACGGCCACGCTAGCTGGAGATTCGTCTGTAAAAACTTGCATTTGTGGTCACAGAGGTGCCTGTGCTAACTTTCCTATGGTGTAGAAATACACCTAGTTGGATGAATCTTATTGTGGCTAGCTGGTCTAGTGGCTAACGCGACGGGCTGGAGTTTTGAGACTATGACCGCGGGTTCAATCCCGGCCGGGGGTATGGTTTATTTGCAATCGTGTCATTATGATTTCTTGAGTCTAGTCAGGAGAGCAGAAATGGCTGCTGTGGTGGCCCTATAAACCCCAACAACAACAGCCGCTATCACCACCACTTGACACACATGCGGTGACATGTATTTTATTCATTCTAGTATATATATCATATTTCTATGCTATTAATATTGTTTTATGTTGTATTACACGAATTGTGATAAGTAAGCTATAGAATTGATAGTAGGGAAATTATTGAAGTATTTCTCATACCTGGAATTCCACTGGAACAAATTAATTCCATTTCATTTAATTTAAATGAGGAAAATTGACTCTGCAAATGAGCAAGTCCAGGTGCGAGCAAAGTCGTGGAACGGATTAAACTCTTAAGTAAAGCTTCCACTGTACTGTATATTGTCACCTCGGGAAAAGGAAGTATACAGTGAAACCTCAGATTTTGTTTGCCCTGATGACTCTTGTTGGCATATGGAAGATGGCAAGGAGGGGAGAGGGAGGAGAGGTTATTGTTTGGAAGGGGAATTCCCTTCCATAAGGACTTCAGGTATCAAGGCCCTATCCACGGTTACTTCCCTTTGTCTTTTACTGGCACTAGGACCAGCTTGAGAGTCGCCATACCCCTGTCGCACAAAAATCTGTCCAGAGATGTCTGTTTCTGGCATTTCTTTAAGATTTGCCTAAAGTGGGACAAGGCATTGTCATTGAACTTGTTGCAGACACAGCTTGCAACAGCTTTGTTAGGGTGATGCTCACTTGACAATAAACAAAGGAAAACCGAGTCACTCAGCGCTTGAGTGGCTGAGTGATGTGGGCGGGCAGGTAGATGCGTTCGGTATGGACCATTGTCACCTCTACAAAAACAGAGGTGATGTTTGAAAACTGGGACAAAATTTCGATGGAAAAAGTCGTCGAAAACCGAATCCTACGAAAACTGGGGTGTACAAAAACCGAGGTTCCACTGTACAGTAGACTACTGTATAAACATTTAAAAATATACCAGTAATGTTTATTAATGGTGCAGAGGTGACATTAAAACAACAACAGATGGCTGAGACAAACCCACCACTGTACCATTATAGTATGCTCCTCATTTAGCGTCAAATTCGTTCTTAGGAACGGAACTCCATCGTTAAGTGAGGAGAGGCTGTAATGAATATGGTTTACAATTTATTTTATAGAAATTATGGAAATCTGTAGTCATATAGTCTATATTTTTCTGAAGCATGTTTCACGAACTGCAGAAATGGCAAGCATTCATGCTTCCCATTTATAAATGTTGAGATTTTCACTATGCAAATTCATTACTTATGTTTCAGAACTTAAAATTCTTGAATTTAATGCAAGGTGTGAGTTCTGGAGGTGGGAAGTAGTGCCTACATTCTGAAGGATGGGCAATGTTGTTCAGAAGGTTATATGAATTGTGATGTCTGTGCACTTCTGGCAAGACACTTATTGAATGGGTAGTGGTGTTTCCTTCTCTGGATAAGCCTACCTTAGTGGAAAACAACCAGTGTGGGGAAAAATATAAAATCCAGGATTTTTGTTTGGGGTAGTGGGATTAGGTTAGTTGGCATTTTAACCCCTTAATAGTTAATACAATATTATAAAATTTCTAGTTTGTGAAAACATATTTTGACTGCATGGTGAACGTAAGATGATACTCATATGAGTGCCATTGTACTTTATTAAATGTTATGACATTGACATTGTACTCTATATATTGCTCAGTTTTTCATAATATTTTGTCAGTTTTTTCTTAAGTATTATTTTGTTAAGTACACCAATAATAATTTAATACTCATGATTTAATGTTTTTATCCTTGCAGCCATCAGACTCCTGGGTAACAGTTCACAATCTGAAACAACTGGATGGTGGGATTTTAGATCCAGACGACCGACTCAATGATGTGGCAGATGACAGGGAACAGATTATTGCACTGTATGAAGAGCAGGCTCACCACCACCACGGCGGTGATGGAACTTCGGCATCATCAGACTCCGAGAACCCTTCCCCAGACATCTTCCAGGTACCAGTGTTGTTTCAGGTGTGTGATAGATTAACTTTACAACTACTGTACTGTAATCATGTTTGGTACTCAGTCTTGTTGAATTTTATCATAATTTTTTGTTTTAAAGCTTTTCAGTGGTTTGTCATATACATATTATAATGTAAAGTGACCAGCTTGTCTGGAGTTAAGAAGGACATCATTAAAAGAAAAGATGAAACTTTCTCATATCCAATATGAATGTATGGTACTATGCTGTGACATATTATTTAAAAAAAAAAAAATACTGCGAGACCAAGTGTTGATGTCTTCAAAAAGAAACTCGAGTACCTCTCCCAGGCTGTAATGGATATGTGGGCCATCAACAATAGCCTCATTGACCAGGCAAGCACCAGACAGTCCTTTGATATACCTTAGATTTACTTTTGAAGGCTTTGAGAGCTTAACTACTCACAGCCCAGTCCTTAGCCAGGTTTATCTGGTGCTTGCCTGATCAACCAGGCTGTTGCTGTTGGCATCCAAGTGACCCACATATTCATCACAGCCTGGTCGATCTAGCACTTTACAGAGGTACATGTCCAATTTCCTCTTGAATGCTCTTCTTGTTCTGGCTGTGTTTGATATCTTATTTAGCATTGAAGCCTGGGTCCACAGATGTTGATAGTGTTCTAATATTATGCCCATAACACCCTTGTTTTTCACTGTTTATTTTACACATTCTTCCATGTTTCTCACTCCAGTATGTTAGGGCAGCATACAGATTTGGAATTATGCCCTCAAGTCCCTTCCATGTATAAATTTATCACCTATCTGTCTCTCTCCTTTGCTGCAGTGAGTACTACATATACAGGGTGTTTTCAAAAAGTTCCTGGACTGCTGCAAAAAAAAAAAAAATATATATATAGATTTACCTAATCAACTAGTTGAAGTTGTTTTCCTTGAAGTGCTCTCCTTAGCAGGCTATACACTGATCCCAGCACCTCTGCTACTTCTTGAAACATTTCTAGTCTGGCCTGCAATTCTACCTGAATCTCCTCCACATTGTTGAAATGCTGCCCCTTGGGTTCTGTTTTCATCTTTGGAACAAGAAAGAAATTCACATAGCATTTGCAATGTCCTAGATACTCTGATGACAGTCTTCGTGAATAACCTTCACTTATTTATTGTTGGCTTCTGTTTTTGACATTGATGAATGACTAGAGCATTCATCATCTTCAATGGATGTTCATCCTACTTCGAATCGAGAAAACAACTCAAAATACCATGATCAGTGCATTGCTTCGTCAGATGCACACTAAAGCATTTTAAGCATTTCACTAGCTGTTTCACCAAGCTTGAAACAATTTCACACATGCTATTCTTTGTTTCAAAGATTTAATTCTGTTACACATCAATCACAGCAGTGCACTGACAACTTGATAAAAAATATCTGTCTTATCTCAGAGTAACAACCAACCACACTGAAACTCGCCACGTTACTTCACAAAAGAGTGTACTGTACAGTGTAATCTATTCTGCTGCCATATTTCACCCAAGAAGCTTGCGAAAATTTGAGTATGCAGATTTTTTGATAACATCTTGTATAGGACTTTGAAGTGTTTTCTGTAATTTAAATGCTTTATTAGCTCAGTGCAGTCAATAAGTATATGTACAGTGGACCCACGGTTTTTGTGTTCAATCCGTTCCAGAGAGATCAGTGAAAACGGAAATCAGCAAAAACTGAAACTGTTTTCCCCATAAGAAATGATGTAAATCCAATTAGTCCATTCCAGACACCCAGAAGTATTAACAAAAAAATTTTTTTTACCTTGAGGATAGATTTACATGCACGAAAGAATGAACATTCAACTGGACACTTACCTTTATTGAAGACTGTTGTTGATGGATGGAAGTGCATATTGAGGTTGTAATCCATCACAGCTGCAGGTTTTACAATGGGTTCATTGGTCTCTCTATTCTGCTTGCCAGTGTCTACCATTTCGTGTTGGTGAACTGATGTCAGCAGTGTGACATCACGTTTGTCATGCCACCGATATACCATGTCATTGGCAGCAAACACCTGCACTTCACCTCTACGACTGCCAGCATCAAACCTAGGCATATGTTTACGATTTCCACACACTGTGCCACACACATCTGTCATGTTCACTCGCAAGAAATCACTGAGTATAGGGCTTGTGTACCAGTTGTCAGTATATAAAATATGCCCCTTACCAAGATATGGCTCCATCATTGTTCTAACCACATCACCAGAGATACCCAGTAACTTTCTGGTATCTTCCAAGGTTTTACCGCTAGCGTACACAATTATATCCAAAACCAGACCAGTTTTGCAATCACACAGAACAAATAACTTTATACCAGAGCGTTTCCTCTTGCTTGGTATACGTATACTGTTTGAATGAGAGTCTTCCTTTGAACAAAATCAAAGACTCATCAATAACAAGCTTTCTGAAGGGATAAAAATACATACAGCACTTTTGTTTCAGGTACATAAACACACGTCTGATCTTGTATAACCTGTCGCTTCTGTCAGGCCTTGTTTTGTCTGAAAAGTGTAACATACGTAACAGTAACACAAATTTATTCACTGGTATAATGTCACTGAAAGCAGGGGTTGAAATCAGGCGGTCTATCGCCCAGTATGTTTTGACACTGTGCTTATACACATGTGGCATAAGCATTATTGTGGCAAAGAAGAGAGACATCTCTGCCACAGTTGTCCTTCCACTGGTGTAGGCGTAATCTTGGTGACAGAATAGTGTTTGCCATGGTGTACTCAGTATGTATTGCTTTCCCTGACAATAATGTCCATCAGGGGTTCATCGAAGAACAACTGAAAGCATTCCAGTTCAGTGGGATTGTTCCCAAGTGTACATGATGGCCGTATTCCACTTTGTCCTCCATCAACGTCATGGGGACTGGGAACAAACTCATCATCTTGCTGCCAATCCCAGATGTGGTCAGCTGGTGGGTTCTGGATATTGTAATGTGGTTGTGCAGGTTGTGGTTGTGCAGGTTGTGGTTGTGGTTGTTGTGGGAGTGTGGGGTCGGGTGAGGCTGGTTGTAGTTGTGCAGAGTCAGCAGCGTGGGTAGTAGCGTGGCCCGCTGCTGGTGTCGCACGACTCGTGCCACCATCACTATCACCACCACCGCCTGCTGCCTCACTTGCGTCATTGATACCCATCGTAACAATATCGTCATCTTCACTATCAGGTTGTGGTGTAGGGCCACGGGATGTGCTCCGAGATGTACTCCTTCCTCTTGGAAAAGCATATGGCACACTACCAGACCGCATGCAACGTCGTATATACTGCCGCTTCACTGGGGAATATTCACCCTCACTATCACAACTAGAACTGCTTTCAATAACCTTGAAATCACTATCACTATCACTTACACTGCTCACATCTGAGTCTTGTACACGGGCAAATAGTTTCCTCTTTCGTCCTGGTACAGGTGAACATGAATAAGCCGGCCCAGCACCAGAGGTGGAAGGTTGTGGGTCATCTGGGTTTTCATCACTAATTATGTTATCCTGGGCACTTTTTTTGGTCACACCCGCTTCAAAACCAGGGAATTCACTTTCACTGACACTTTCATGGCTGTTTGAGCTATCACTTGGGAACAAAAGACCTCCAATCCGCCAAGGAGTGAGGAACTTCTTGCCGCGAGGCATGGTGAAAATGGACTACCAAGATGGCGTTCCCACAATGCACCGCTGAGTCCCAGATTTTTTTCACAAGGTGCACACCCACCACTGAGACCCATTCTCTCTCATGTAGGCCTACCAGCCCTCTCCTGCTTGATTTTAAGCCGCTAGAATTTATGCGTATAGATACGTCAAACATGGTATCTCCCATGACGTATATATACGACCGCGACAGTCAAGGGGTTAAAAGATGTTATACCTCCCTGGCCAGTGCATGAAATGACCGCCTCCCTTTCTTTGTCGACATTTAACCCTTAAACTGTCCAAACATATATCTACATTTCTTTTTTACATGCTTTCAAATGGGGAAAATAAAGGTTGGAGCGCTATGCATATGAACATATATCTACTAACTCCCCTACTGTTTTTAATTGACAAACCCATTCGTTCCTTAGGCTTTCTTAACTTGTTTATCTTGCTCCAAAATTTTTTTTCATCAAAATGTCTTGACAGTGCACCTCCTACTCTATCATCTGCTCTCCTTTTGCACTCTTTCACCCCGGTTTTCAAACTTAGTCCGTTCCAGTAGGTGGTTCTAAAACCGAAGTGTGTGAAAACTGAATCAGTATTTCCCATAAGAAATAATGTGAATCCAATTAATCCGTTCCAGTCGCCCAAAAATATTCACAAAATTAATTTTTTTAAGGAATAACTAAAGTTTTACATACAGAAAACAATGAGAAATAAATATAAACCACTAATTTTGATGATAAATTAACATTGCCTACCTTTATTGAAGACTTGTTGGCGTATTGAAGAATGCAAGACAGTGAGAGAAAGTTGAGGTTATTGTTTGGAAGGGGAATCCCCCTCCATAAGGACATGGGTATCAAAGCCCTCTCTGGGATTACTTCTCTTCATTCTTTTACTGGCACTGGACTCCTATCACACTAAAAATCTCTCCAGAGAGCTCTGTTTCTGGCTTCTCTTTAAGATTTGCCTAAAATGGGACAAGGTATTGTCACTGAACATGTTGCAGATACAACTTGTATCAGTTTCGTTAGGGTGATATTTTTCAACAAAAGTTTGCACCTCATTCCACTTTGCACAAATGTCCTTAATCACCGAAGAAGGCACCTTCTCCCCTCTCTTCCTCCACCTCTGAAGCAATTTCCTCAGCTGCAGTCTGTTGCTGTTCCAGTTGAAGGTCTTGTAGCTCTTCAGTGGTTAGCTCTTCCCTGTGGTCCTCCACCAACTCTTCCACGTCCTGGGCACTCACATATCTTGTTTTTTACTTTCTTTACCAAAGGGCTGGCACTAGGAACTTTCTTTGGGCCCATGGTGGCTTATTTCGCAGTCGCAGTCAATAAAAAAGCAAAAAATTGTG